ATTTCAGCAAGACAAAAGCTTTACTCCTGTTGAAGGGGGCTAGCACACCCAGTTGGGGGCCCCGGTGTTTTTGTTCCTAATAAAGGGTCCTGTTCCTCATTGTCACTGGTCAGCATTCAGCCTGTCATTCTTACATGATTGGACTGGAGCAACCGGGGTGAGGAGCAGAAAGAAGTTTTGAGCGGAGTGCAACCTTGAGTTCAAGAAACGCTGATGGCAGAAGAAGGCGAAGTTCTGACCAGTGGTTTCTTTATGGTTTTTTAAAGGAAATGTTGTCTCATGTAACCCATTGATAGACATACACAGTACATTTTTGTTTACATTTCCCACAGTATTACCCAATGTCAATGACAAGGCCAGCCACAGATCACCAGTCCCTGGGTAACAAGCCACATGATGACATTGAATTGAAATAAACAACAAAATGACAACAATAACAAGGAAAACCTCACCAGGACTGACTGGGACAATGGAAAAGTTGGAGAGATTTGGGGCAGTATCAAAATTTTTCTGCTCATGGAAGGGATTAATAAACATCTACCTTGGGTGCTGGAGAGATGTCTCAGCAGTTAAGATCACTGGTTGCTGTTCCAGAGGACCCAGGTTCGATTCCCAGCACCCACATGACAGCTCACAACTGTCTGTAACTTCAGTTCCAGAGGATCTGACACCCTCATACATACAGACATACATGCAGGCAAAACACCAATGCACATGAAATAAAAATAAGTAAAATTTAAAAAAAAAGAAACATCTACTCCCATCCTTCTAATGTCTCAATGACAGCCAAGTTCAACGGGGAACCAATGAGTTTATTTGGCTTATGCAGTCATAGGTGACCCTAAAGCAAGCCAAGCTGGAAGGTCTGCACCCAGCATGGATAATAGCTGTGGAGGTGGAAACCCTTCCCCCGAGCCTTCCCCAATTATATACTCCACTCTGGACCCTGAAGACTGCAGCTTGAGCAGAAATGCATACAAATGGCTGGGGGAAGGGGGATGGATATTCAGGTAAGATTCCCATGACCCTCCCCGGCCCCTCTTTCTATGAGCAAACTTCTAAAGTCATCAGGTCCATCTAGGGTGATCTTTGTCAAGCAGATACAGCGGAGCTCATGAAGATGGCAGAAGTTGGCTCAAAGGATGGGAGGATAGCGCTTGCTATTCAACAGGGCCTGATAATATGGCTCAGTGGGTATAGGAGCTTGCCATCAAGCCTGACCACCTGAGTTCAATCCCGGGAACCCATATGGTGGAAGGAGAGAACTGACCTCAATATTCGCACACATATAAGTAAATAAATGTAATTTAAAATTGAGGTGGGGGCAGGGGGAGAAGGAAAAATAGATTTGGGACGGATGACCTGTGGATGACTCTGGGTATGGGTACCCTGGTCAGTAGGCAGCACTGTGACAGGGCTGGGGATTGGGGGATCTGACTTAATCACATGAGGACACTGACCTTAGTTTCTTTGGACCAATTGGCACTTAGGGACCTCCTATATGGTCTCAGAGGCTTGGCAGTTTGTCACTCATGCCAAACAGGAGCCAAAGGTCTCCTGAATAAACTGGTGGCCTGGTGACTTCAGAATACTTGGGATAGGACACATTGGGGTTCACACAGATGCAAGGGAAGACTGTCCCCACACTACCACCCAAGATGAGTCTGCTCGCCCTTTGATCGGTACAATCACTGAACTTCAGTGCTGGGAATTGGGCTCAGGTCCTGCAGAAGAACAACGGCTGCTTTTAATTTCTGAGCCATCTGTCTAGCCTGGGGCTCAAGGTGTTAAATCACACATTACACTTTTGGTCACATTCACACAGCAGCTGTTAGTGACAGCCCACGGGCCATACCCCATCAAAACAGAATATCAATTCCATATCCAGACACCATCCCTTGTCACACGTGAAAACCCAGATCAATGCCCTCTCCCATCCCACACTTGCATAGGAGAGGCACTAAGTCCTCGGTCCGACTCTGCTCTCTGTTTCGTTTGTGCACAGGCTCTCCTGCTGCTGCAGACTCCTCTAAAAAGACAGGCAGATCGCCTCCCAGCACCAGCACACCATGTGGATTATGTTAATCCACGAGGGCAATACTGACTAAAACCCCACCAGAACAACGAAATGTTGGAGAGACCCGAGGCTGCACATTGCTTATGTGCATCGTAAGGGTCCATCTCGCACAGGGGAGAGACAGTACGGATATGGCTTGACATGATGGCAGCCATTTTGAGCTACAGCTGCTGTGACTGAGGCACCACAGTTGGGTTTTCCTACAGAGTTTGCGAGGAAACCATAACACAGAGCTGTGAAAGCACATGTGCACTGCATGACTCGGAGGGACAGGCCTGGCTCTGGATGGAATCTGAAGATAAACCAGAGACATTCTGGCCTGAGAGCATGCTTTTGTCCTAACCCATAATGACACTGTCTTCTGTCCCAAATGCAGGGACCCAGTCAGTGTTTAGCCGCCCAGCTCCCCAGAACCTTCCTCTGCCGGTAAGTTTGCCAATCTATCTCACTGTGCAGTCCTAGCTCTGTCTGCCCCTCTCCCTCTCCTTCTCCCCACGGTCGTGTGTGTTTATGTGTCCGTCTGTGCTGGTGCATTCAGAGTCTAGTGGTCCACATGGGGTGTCTTCTTCAATTACTCCCCACTTTAAAAAAAAGCATTTAAAATGACATTTGCTGCTGTTTTGAGACAACATCTCACTATACTGCCCTGGCTGGCCTGGAACTCTGTGTAGACTCACCGTGAGTCTCCCTCTGCTCCCCAAGTGCTCAGCCGCCCAGCTCCCCAGAACTGATTGAAGGAGTGGGGCACCACACCCAGCTTAAATACATTTAAAGTTTATGTATGTGTGTGCACAAATGTGCCACCACGGGTGTCCAGATCAGAGGGACACTTTTAGAAATAAATCCTCTCCTTCCATGTGGATCCCTGGAATTGAATCAGGCTTGGTGGCGAGCACCTTTACCCACTGAGACTTCTCACTGGCCCAATACCTTATTTTTCAAAGATAAGATCTTGCACCAAAAACCTGGCTGGCATGACCAGCTGGATATCAAGTCCCAGGGGTCCTCTGGTCTCCAACTCTGAGTAGTGGGGTTACACGCCTGCACCCATCATGCCCAGCTTTTATCCCAGGGGCTGGGGATCCAGACTCAGGTCCTCATGCTTGCATAGCATTTCCTGACTGAGCCGTCTCTACAGTGGCATTTCTGTCTTTGGTCCTGAGCACCTAGGGCCAGGGATTACTCCAGAAGAGGTGGTGTGAAGGTTCTCTGGTTTCTTCTCCCAGATGAGAGGGAGGAGCCACCCACACAAACAGCTCTGTTTGAGCTCATTCCTTCGGTTCCCCTGAAAAGGTGGCACGCCCTCTCACTTCTAGGGAACTGGCAGGAGCCAGCCCCAGAGGACAGGAGGGGATTTAGGGGCCAGGAGACACTCAAGACAACAAGTGTGGCCTGAGCGAGCTGGGGACAGCCACTGTCAGCAGGCGATCAACAGGTGAGAAGGTTAGTCTGCCCCTCTACCTGCTCCCCCAAGCAAGGAACACCCCTTCTCTTACCCTCTATGGCATCCTGCTCCCTGCTTGGCTTTCAGAGGGGCGCTAGTGGCTCTGAGAATGTCCTCCGAAAGGGACCTTCCCTGGGTAAGGGAAGGGAACCTTGGAGGCTGAGGCTGCAGGCTTGGAATTCACAGCTCTGGGTCCATTGGAGAACAAGGATGAGGAAGATGGCCCGACCCACCTTCCGTATCCCCTTTCAAAACTAGCCTTGCCTCCACCAGCGGGAATCCACACAGGACTAGGAGTCTGGATTAAACACCCTTGGTGTACTGAGGCCCACAGAGGGGAAGGGTCCTGCCTCTGTCACCAATGATGCACAAGAGTCCAGGAAAAGTCCCTAATTTTAAGGTCCTGAGGACCTGCACTCTGACCCTGACAGCTGGGCTTGTAGGAGGTGCCAGCAAGGATCCTTGGTGATGAGCCGGGAGGTGACACTTACCAGGACACTGCAGAAGTTTTGGGACCCCGAGAGGAAGCAGGGGCTAATGGATGTGAGCCTCTGTGAGTGGAGAGATAGCTGAAGTGGTCTCCTGGGCAGGGGACACATCCCAAGCAGGGAATGAGGGTAAAACACAAAGCACACAGTGTTCTCTGTCTCTGTCTCCCATCTCTCTCTCCATCTCTGACCCTGTCCCCCGCCACTCCGTCCTTGTCTCCTTGTCTATGTCTCCCTCCCTCTCCCACCCCACCCTACCCCCCCCCCCATCTATCCTTTCCTATAGCTTTTCCTCCCTAGCAGGCCCTGTCCCCAGAACCTGGGTCTGGGTCCTCATACCTGGAACATCCCCTGAACTAGGACAAGATCAACCATGGGCCTTATGAAAAGAGAGGTACTGCTCTGAGATGCCCCCCCCCCCCCCACTGAGAGCACCAGGAACTCTCCTTCTGCTGATCACTCCCCCAGAAGACTCAGGGCCCTGAGACCCATCACTGAAGTGAGTAACCACAGTCCTTCGGGATCCTGAGGGTTTAATGCCCTGCTCCAGATGGACTGTGTGGGGAAGTCCCCTAAAGCCTCATCCAGCACAGAAGAGTGTCCTGGAGTCATACCAGGCACCATCTGAGACCCTTGGGTGGGTGTGGTCAGTGCCTTGGAGCCCTCACACTAGTACATGATGGAAAAGAAAGGGGAGTCCCTCCACCTGTGGCCCCTTTGCCTGAAACTGGTAGGTCTCTGCAAGGAAGCACCTCATACAGGAAGGCTTGGCCAGCCAGGATGAGGGCAGAGAATGCTGCCTCAGAGCACAGCAGGTGTTGGGGACGGGGCAAGATCACACGCAGCTAGGAAAGGGGGCCAAGACCACACTAACTCCAGAAGCTGGAGACTCCTGATGTCTTACCTTCCACACTCAGAGCACAGCATCTGGGTAGTGAGCACTGTCACCCTTTGCAGGGGCCTCCCAGATCACCCACGGAAGCCAGCCAGGATGTTCTCCATATTCAACATCTGGGGCACGTTCAACAATGTACTCTTCTACCTCAGCCTCCTTGTCAGCCTGGCAGGGCTGGGGGGCAACGCTCTGCTGCTCTGGCACCTTGGTCTGCACATCAAGAAGGGCCCCTTCAACATTTACCTGCTGCACCTGGCCGCTGCCGACTTCCTCTTCCTCGCCTGCCAGGTGGGCTTCTCTATTGCCAACATCGCCCTGGGCTATGAGGACACACTCCACTTCCCGATCATCTTCTTGTGGTTTGCTGTGGGGCTCTGGCTGCTGGCTGCCTTCGCTGTGGACTGCTGCCTCACCTACATGTTCCCCTCCTGTTGCGGCCCCAGCTGCCGCCCCAGGTACACCTCAGTTGTGCTCTGTCTCCTGATCTGGGCACTGACCATGCCGGCTGTACTACTGCCGGCCAATGCCTGTGGACTGCTGTACAAGGGAATGAGCTTCCTGGTCTGCCTCAGTTACCATTGGGCCAGTGTTGTCTGGCTAGTGGTGCTGGCGGTCATGGCCTGTGGGGCGAGCAAGATTCTCTTAATCTGTGGGAACTGCTGCTCTGTGCAGCCACTCCCCAAGTTCTGCAAAGTGGCCCAGTGCTCCGGGATCCTGCTGTTCTTCTGCCGCCTGCCCATGGTTGTCTACTGGAGCCTGCGGCCGGTCATAAAATTCCTGCTCCCCTTCTTCTTGCCATTGGCCACCCTCTTAGCCTGCATCGACAGCAGCGCAAAGCCCCTCTTGTACTACATGAAGGGCCGGCAGCTCAGGAAGAAGGAGCCGCTGCAGGTAGTCCTAAACAGGGCTTTAGGGGAGGAGTCCCAGTCAAGCCTTGGGGGACTATCCCTGCCTATGAGGCAAGTGTAGAGTGGCCGGCCATCCTATGCCCACCTACCCTGCCCTCATAGCTGCCAGGGGACCCCCAGTCTTGCTCAAACTCTTGCCATGTCCCAGCTCTGCCCTCTCATAAAGCAGGGGAGAAGGGAAAGAGGCCAGGTTGTATGTTGAACATGCAAAGGACATGGTAAGGACAGGAACAGACAGAGGCGCATGGGCAAAAGGAGGACCCCAGAGCTACAGTGAGGGCATGTGCCCTGCATCCTTCTGCCCCTGTGGCTTCCAACCCAAGAAAACTGCCCGTCAGCCCCAGTGGGCCTGGCGACGGGAGCTTTGCCTCCTGCGGTAGATGGGCCAGGTGACTGGAGGGTCAGCATCAGCTCCTGGAGAGCATTCGCTGCTCTTGGGGGCACTGGCCCTTCAGCTCTGTCCACAGAGGCCTTATGTTGGATGCATCCACTACAAGGCTTCGTCTAAACTGCTGTTTCTCCCTCCCTCATCCCAGCATTCCCCACAAAACATTCACAGTCCAGGTGGCTGCTGCCTCCCTAATTCTCCAGCCTGGTGTCACTCGTGAAGGCCACAAGGTGGTGCTGTTTTACCACTAAACAGACACAGTACGTCCTGGCTCCAGGGCCACCCCAAGTAGTTGCATCCTGGTTACTTCTGCCTCTCAGGAGCCCCCAAAGAACCTTCACAGTGCCAGCAGGGCACCCCTGGCTCCTATCCAGATCCCATCGCTTTCCCTCGGCTTCTCCAAGATTGTGCTCAGCCAAGCGGTTTCTGCAGACTCCACCCTGGCCTGCCAGCCAGCTTCACCTACAGTTAAGAGAAAAGAGGCAGGGAGCCAAGCTTCCCAAGTGCACACTGTTTCTGTATGTTTTATGATGGTTCTTTAAGAACTAAAACAAAACAAACAAAACTGCTTTCATTGTCATCCTTAAAGCATTCAAGCCCTGGGCCTGGAGAGATGGCTCGGCAGTTGAGAGCACTGGCTGCTCCTCCCAAGGACCTGGGTTCAGTTCCCGAGACCCACATGGTGGCTCATAACCGCCTGTTCCAGGGGATCTGGCATCCTCTTATGGCCTCTTATAGGCACTACCCGCACATAGTACACAGACGTAACACCCAGACACATAACATAAAAATGTAAAGAACAACATTCAAACCTTACCAAGAACGCCAGGGAAATAAGTCACCAACACACTTTCCAGCCAGATGGAAACATCTGGTATGAAAAAGAACATTCCACCCATGTATCTTTCTGACAGACACCCTCAGAAAACGCCTCCCTTTTGTGTGTAGATAGGGAAGGGCATATGTATATGTGCCCATGAGGGTGTGAGTGTAGGTATACATGCATGTGCATGGAGGCCAGAGGCCAGCCGTGGGTTGTCTCTAGTAGTCATTTGCAGCTTTTAGACAGAGCCTCTCACTGGGCCCTGGGGCTTGCTGACTAAGCTAGGTTAGTTGGTCAGCAAGTTCCTAGGATCCACCTGCCTCCATCTCCTCAGCGCTGGAATTCCAAGCATGCATCACCCCACCTGGGCTTTACATGGGCTCTGGGGACCCGATTCAGGTCCTTAGGCTAACACAGCACACACTTTACCAACTGAGCTGTTTATATTGATATTTTAATTCAAAGTAAAGACGGTCTTTTCCATGCTCTGTGAGACCCAGTACGGTGACCTGACCGCTAGATAAAGCGGTGTTTCCCCCATTTGAAAGGTAATATGCTACTCACTCTGGGGACTTTGGAGAATGTTCTTAGAATGGAAAGAAACCCCTGCTTGTAGCCCCAGCCAAAAGGAACTACCTCTGTAGGGTGTATTCCTCCCCAGGACACGACTGTAGCCATCCCATGTCCCCAGTCCTCCTTGAGATGGAACCCTTAGAACTGGAGAGGCTCCAACAGGGAATCTGGTAGATGTGAGACCCTTAGACTAAAGGCCAGCATGGGCTCAGGAAGGACGGGTGGAGGACCCAGTGGATGAGGCCGCTTTGGGGAGGCAGATTGGGAAAGAGCTGCCTATTCTTCATGCATTTCACCCCAGACCCTAAGGAACAGAGTGGTCCCTTCCCAGAAGGCTTGCCACTGAGATAAAGGTGAAATAAATCTGAGGTCAGCTGTACCCTCTTTGCCTAAGGACACAGATGCAGGGCCCTGTAGGGTGTCCATCTGTGTGCCAGGGGTGACAGGTGAATATCACAGCAGCTGACAGCCCTGGAGCATATGATAAATGAGTTGATATAGACAGATGGGGGGACACAGGACCTCTGCTCCCCAGGCCATTGTTGGGTATGAGGATGCTAGTGAAACCCAGAGGCAGCAGCAGTCATGTCTATCCTAAGCCTAGTGGGGCTCACATAGAGTGTCAAGGCTGCTCTTGGGATGGCTTAAATTGAGGCAGATGCAGGACAGACCTGACTCCATCACAGGGTGGCTAGGCTCCTGCCTTCTGGCACCTCTGTAGCTGGATGACCTCTAGAGGGTCACCTGGCAGCTCAAAACCAGGTCTGCAGAGGAGGCAGAAGTTTGCCAGGACAGCTGAGCCAGGCTTTAGCAGCAGATATTCTGCCCTAACCTTCAAAGCCAAAGCCATCACCTCTTATGGCAGACAGAGACGCCCTGTGCCCCCTGCCCACCTGACGTCACACCTCCTCCGCCTTGCTGCTTGCCTTTGTCCTGCCCAGGGTGTTGTCTGTTGACTGTGGTGCTGTGGCTCCTGGCAGCAGGAATCTGTTCTCAACACTTCTTACTTGTCTGGGTACCACACATACACACCACCACAGCAAACCTGACCTGCTTGGTTCTGCATCTCTCATGAGCAGGTGTGCTCCTGAGGGCTCAGAGTCAGCAAGCAGCAGTCACGCTGTCCCTGGATGGGAGGAGGAGCCAGGAAACATGGATCCAATGAAGGGAGGGACTGGTAGGTGCTCAGTGGAGAATAAGGTCAAATGAATAAATGATACAACTGATGGACACTGACTGTTCTGGCTATGAGTTCTGGAATCTTCCCAGCCAGCTCAACCTGATCACAGACACCAGACTCAGGCTCAGGTTTGCTCAGTCCGGAGCCAGATTCCCAGGGCTCCCTGATTTCAGCAACTCCATTCTGGGCTCTGGGTGTGGTGCTGGGGGTGTGGACCACCCACAATGGCTCCTGTCCCAAGGAGTTTCTTACTATATTACCCTCCATCTTATTCTTAACCCTGGAGCTCACTGGTTTGGCTAAACTAGCTGGCCAATGAGCTTCAGGGATCCTTCTGTGTCCACTTACCCTGTGCTTGGGTTACAGCGTCACCACACTTAGCTTCTTATGTGGGTGAGGATCCAAACTCAGGTCCTTATGCCGCATAACAAGCTCTCTGTTGACAGAATCTCTGCAGGCCCCAAACTGACATTTCAACAGTGGTGTTTTCTGACTTAGGAATGAGATCTAGCCCTCCCCGTAGCTCTGTGCTTCTGTGGCTTCTCTTTTGTGGCTTTCCATACAAGTGTCTTGGCACATATCTTGTATTTGTGGTTTCTGCGTGCCATGTACACACGATCTCTTCATTCTTGCTTTCCAGTTGTTTAGCACGGACTTGATTCTGTCTAATTGATTCAATCTGCTGCATTCGCTGACGTCTTCCAGGACCTTTTCGGAAACATCTGAGATTTGCAAATAATCATGTTCTCTCTCTCTCTGCCTTTCATTCTATCCTATAGCGTCATCACAAAGGCCGTCTTTAGGACAGAACCACAAAGATAGGCATCGCTGTCTTATCCCCAGTCTTACAGAGAAAATGCTTTTCCTTCACCACTAAACACAATTCAGGCATCAGCCATTAAGATCACTTGCTGCTTTTGCAAAGGACCAGGATTTGGTTCCTCACACCCAGAGGGCAGCTCACAAGTACCTGTCACTCCAGTTTCAGGGTATCTGGCTCCCTCTTCTGGCATATGTGAGTACTGCATGTACGTGCACGCGTGTAGCGATTATACACACTTGCAAACAAACTCTCATATATAGATATAAAATAAAAACAAATATTTAAAAAACTGATCCAGCTGCGGGCATATTGCTTATTTGCATATTCTCACCATGCTGGTAAGTTCCACATACTCCCAGTTTTCCAAGAACATTTCAAACATGCATGCATATTGGATATTGTCAACTGGTACTTTCCTTTAACTGTTAAAATGATCACACAGTATTTCCCCTTTGTCTGTTAAGAGGGTGATTTACATTGATTTTTTTTTGTTTTTTTGTTTTGTTTTGAGACAGGGTTTCTCTATATAGACCAGGCTGGCCTCGAACTCAAAGATCTGTCTGCCTCTGCTTCCCAAGTGCTGAGATCAAAGGTGTATGCCACCACCACCCAGCTACATTGATTTTTTAAAATACTTTTTATTATTTTTAATTATGTGTATGGGACAGGGGTGTACACATGAGAATGCAGCTCCTCACAGAGGCCCAAAAAGGAAATCAGATCCCCTGGAGCTGGTGTTACAAGCAGTTGTGATCCCCTGACGTGGCTGCTGGGAACCAAACTGACCTTCTGCATGACCAGCACATGCTCTCATCTGCTGAACCATCTCTTCAGCCCCTGCACTGAATTTTTTGCAGTGCTGAGGATCAAACCCAGGCCTTTGCTCATGCCAGGTAGGCACTCTAATGAGTCTCACCACAGCCCAAATGACACTGATTCATCTCCGAACACTGGCCTTGACGTTCTTGGGTAACCCTCATTTGATTGTCATCTGTTATCTGTCTGGCAGATGCATGGGTCGATCCTGCTCATGTTCTGATCAGGACGTTTGCATGTATGTTCACAAGGGAGAGCTGGCACCTGTCCCCTGTTGTGTGAACTGCTCCTGGGGAGTCATGAGCAAACATCTACTCACCTCAGATAATGCATCGATAGACGAATTCACCAAATCCAGCCTTGTGAACCAATAAGCTTATTGGGGTTATTTCTGGGAGTGTGGATGACCACCCCCCAAACAGCTGCATCGCTGAAAAGGCCCACCACAGCGTAGACGA